GTCCCAAACATCTGGAGGGCCGGAGTTTGCCTATGCCTGGTCTAGAACCTAGAGTCACTGCAGGTTAACCTGGCCAAAGCCTTTCCCCGCTTGATGCTCTGTTTTTATCTCTCCGGTGCAACTCAACACTTCTCCCAACCCACAGCAAAGGAAGTGCTCAGCCACATTCATAGAACCATTAACTTAAAAGTGCCCTGACACATCTATACCTCCACTCCAGGCAACTATAATTAGTACATGGAACAGCTACCAGTAAGTGAGACTGCTCAAGCGCTCACATGCTTAAAATTAAGTACTTTCTTGGACTTCTGCCAAAGCGTTCCTTCCCCTTGCCAAATACACGCTCACCTCGAAAAACAAGATTCTTCCATCCTTTCAGAACCTTAGTTTGCAATATTTATTCCAACATTTAATCCCAGAAGAGAATGCAGAAGATTCTGAGTGCCTTCCTAGATTTTATTTTATTAGAGGGGGGGGGGAGAGAGAGGGCAATATACCAGGCTTGCGGGTGGTAGAGAATTGTGGCCGCATCTGGGAGAGGAACAGGTGAGGAAGCAAGGACGCATAGATCATGTTGAATTGGTCAAAGACAAGCCAGGAGATCACCAATTGAGCACATCGGTCAGTGCTGGTCTATGGGTCAAGCAATAAACTGATATGAGAAGTCCAATCTGATACACACTCCAAGTGTCCCTATTTTCCAGGGACAGTCTCATATTTACAGAAGCCATGCTGGTTTCTGATTTGATCCCTGAATGTCCCACTGTTCCTTAGGATGTCCCTATTTTCATCAGGGAAATGTTGAAGGGTGTGGAGTTATGTGAACGATTCAAGGAGATAACCTTTAGAAGACATCTGAGGGCAGCCCTGTATAGCGAAGTTTTTTTAAAAATGTTTAATTACCGTATTTTTTGCTCTATAAGACTTACTTTTTCCTTCCTAAAAAGTAAGGGGAAATGTGTGTGCGTCTTATGGAGCAAATGCAGGCTGCGCAGCTATCCCAGGAGCCAGAACAGCAAGAGGGATCGCTGCTTTCTCTGCTCAGCGATCCCTCTTGTTGTTCTGGCTTCTGAGATTCAGAATATTTTTTTTCTTGTTTTCCTCCTCCAAAAACTAGGTGCGGCTTATGGTCTGGTGTGTCTTATAGAGCGAAAAATACGGTAGGTTTTCATATATGTTGGAAGCAGCTCAAAGTGGCTGGGGCAACCCTGTCAGATGCATCGAGTATAAATTATTTTTGTATTATTATTCTGGAATTGGATGTCCCTATTTTTATTGCGGAAATGTTGGAGGGTATGCTGTACACACACATAGTCAAACAACGCGGGACGTGGGTGGTGTTGTGGTCTAAACCACAGAGCCTAGGGCTTGCCGATCAGAAGGTTGGTGGTTCGAATCCCTGCAATGGGGTGAGCTCCCATTGCTCGGTCCCCACTCCTGCCAACCTAGCAGCTCGAAAGCACAAAGTGCAAGTAGATAAATAGGTACTGCTCCGGCGGGAAGGTAAACAGCGTTTCCGTGCACTGCTCTGGTTCGCCAGAAGCAGCTTAGTCATGCTGGCCACATGACCTGGAAGCTGTCTGTGGACAAATGCTGGCTCCCTCGGCCAATAAAGTGAGATGAGCGTTGCAACCCCAGAGTCGGTCAGCGACTGGACTTAATGGTCAGGGGTCCCTTTACCTTTATTTTCATTGGGGAAATGTTGGAGGGTATGCTGTACACACAGATAGTCAAAGAACAAGCCCAGAGGTCAGGAACTGGGAACTGACATCGTCTTGACAAGCTGTCCTGTTTTCTTTGGTCCCTTTATTACTGTTTCCATGAAGAAGCTGGCAAATGCACCGCCAAGCTCTTTCCTGGGGAACAAACCAGATCTGCAGAGTGCTGCGTTTCAGACCTCTCCTGTGGCTTTCTGGGAAAGTCAGTGGGCTCAGCCACAGAAGCCAGAGTCTAAGTGGCACAGGCAATATCTGGAGCCACCTCACCCACGATGCCTCCCTCTAGGGAAGGAACCCTTCTTCCGGGTGACTTGTGGTTGGCCTCAAGAGGTCTCCTGGAGCACCATTTCCTGCTTCTCTCTTACAGTGGTGGCACTCTGTGGCAGATGGGCACCACCACTGTACCAGCCACCGTGTGGCACCGCAGAAGCATTAGCTGCAACAAGCAGGCATTTGGTGTAGTCATAGGTCCAGAGACTTACAGCAGACAGGATGTACAATCTGCCACCTGCTCTGCCCTGCTACCTGAGGCAATGCCTCATTCTGCCTCATTATAGGGCCGGCCATGTTGCAGCCGCTAACTCTCTTTCATTAAGGACCTGCTGCCCCCTTTTATTCCTTCCAGCATGTTTGGACAAATACTCATTGACTGCATTGCAAGATTTAATTGATTCTTCTCCGCAGGCCACCAGGGAATTGAAAGAGTAACACCAGCACAGAGAAGCTTTATAGCAAAGCACTGGGAGATATGATTTATATGCTTTTTATGTCTGCACTACAAAAGCATTCCTAGGCACTGTTTTTAAAAAAATCAAAAAATCAAATAAAAAGCCAGGTCTAAATTTACATCCTCCCGATCCTTTCCTCTTTGCCATTAAAACTACAGAGAGGACATGGCACGTAACTCCTTAAAAACTCTTCCCACAAAAAGATAATAAAACTGTCCTGGCAATATTTAATCTGCAAAATGAAAGCGGAAAAAGAGACAAAATGTTTGCTTCTCTTTATCCATCACGGTGGCTTTTTTCTTTTCTTTTTACCAGCTCAGAGGCTTCCTCCCCCTTCCTTCAAGCCAAGCTGGAACACTGATATTAATAAGTGCCACACAACAGACACTCCATCAGCGGAGGATAAAAATGTTACCCCTCTACTCGGCTTTTACAGTGGAAGGCTGAATAATCTGTAGCTCTGGGAGACTGAATTTTATAGGGATGAGTAGTGCATTGCACTGTTAATACAATGCCGTGATTTCCCAAGGAGCAGAGAAAAACAGTGAGGTAATAACAAAGACTGTAAGCACAACAAATTGTGTTCAAGGCTAATTATGCTCCCCCACCATGCTTGCTCTTTCTGATTTTAGGCATGTCTCCCAACCTTCAGAGTTGAAGCTAACAACTGGGTCTCGTACGTGGAACAGCTGGTTCTGCAAGACAGCTCAGGCTAGAAACTAAAGCTAGGTTGCAAGGCATGCAATGATTTGTTAGACATACCCTGATCCACCTAACACCATAAGTGTGTGGCCACTACTAGCACAGCTCCCTGCACCAGGGACGGGATTGCACTTATCGATTAGATGCCCATTTTGTCTCAAATGCTTGTTTGCTGTCTCAACAAGTCATAACACTGGCAGACCCATCTCTTGAGGATTCTGGCACTGATGAGGTGGTTCAGCGCCACATTTCCAACTCCACAATTCAGCTCCTACTGATCCTGCCTAAGACTGATCTATTTCTGCATCTTTCCAGTGCTAGGCTACTACGTGGCTCTGCAATCCAGGCATGTAGTAAAACAGTCACATCACATATGCTCCACTCTGCGCAGGCGTACTGGGCGTAGCCAACAAATTCTCATTTTGAACACACCTACTGGGTAGTTTGTTTGAGCTGGCCTTCTGCAAATTAGCTATGCTGCCACTAGAGTCATCTGCACCTGGGTCACAACCCATTTCCTCTTAAGGTGAAAGAAGTTCAGCTTGGGGAAAAAGGGCCTTTTCACAGACCAAAATGACATAAAACCAAAAAAATCATGTGAGCTTCCATTTGCCACATTGCCAGCAGCAGGGTGGAGGCGGCAGTTATCACAGATTATCTTGGGAATGCAAAACAGGCTGCTTTCCAGTGAGGCAAGTGACCAAGAAAGGGCTTTTGCCCATGAAACAACAGCCATCAACATATGACCTCAATATGCAGAAGGAAAAAGGTTAATGGGTTTCCTCAAACAAGTTTGCTGTGAGGAACGAAGCTTGAAAGCCAAGACTGAAAACCACAGGAAAACAGTGGGTCTCTTTGGCCAATGACTGGGGGGGGGGGTGTTTGCCTGCACAGTGGGATGCTTTTCACTGCATGTGAGGGAGAGATAGAAGCCAAACCACCCTGCTTCCTCTGATGGTGTTTTTGTCCCTTCACAGGCGGCTTCTCCCTGCAGCCCTTGTTTTCTTGAATGTAATAAGTCCACCATCATGTTCTCCTAGTGGCCAACCAAATGCCCATGGGAAGTCTGCAATGAGTGCAACAGCACTTTCTCTCTAGAGGGCAAGGGGTAGAATCACAGAATCATAGAGTTGGAAGGGACCCTGACAGTCTAATACTAATAATTTTTATTTATTTATTTATTTATTCATTCATTCATTCATTCATTCATTCACTCTTTCCCCAGCCACTCTGGGCAGCTCCCAGCAGAACATTAATAATAATAAAAAAGAGATAAAACATCAAACATTAAAAACTTTCCTAAACAGGGCTGCTTTCAGGTGTCTTCTAAAAGTCAGATAGCTGTTTATTTCCTTGACATCTGATTGGAGGGCGTTCCACAGGGCGGGCACCACTACCGAGAAGGCCCTCTGCCTGGTTCCCTGTAACCTCACTTCTCACAGTGAAGGAACTGCCAGAAGGCCCTCGGAGCTGGACCTCAGTGTCCTAGCTGAACGATGGGGTTGGAGACGCTCCTTCAGGTATACTGGGCTTTAAAGGTTTGAATTGTGCTCAGAAACGAACTGGGAGCCAATGTAGGTCTTTCAGGACTGGTGTTATATGGTCTTGGCGGCCACTCCCAGACACCAGTCTAGCTGCCGCATTCTGGATTAGTTGTAGTTTCCGGGTCACCTTCGAAGGTAGCCCCACATAGAGCGCATTGCAGTAGTCCAAGCAGGAGATAACTAGAGCATGCACCACTCTGGTGAGACAGTTTGCGGGCAGGTAGGGTCTCAGCCTGCGTACCAGATGGAGCTGGTAGACAGCTACCCTAGCCCAACCTCCTGCAATGCAGGAATCCTGTCCACAGCCATCCCTGATTGGGCTTGAACCACCAACCTTCTGGTTAACAGCCAGACATACTGACCCATTGTGCCACCTAAGGGTAGGTTGTACTGATGCCTGCCATTCATTTTATGAAGGTGATTTGATTATAGCTACATAACTTGTGTGTGTGGAGGAGGTGGGGTTTAATTGTTTATTATCTTGCTTATCTAAAACTTGGATTCCTCCCACCTGCTCCCCGCTGGGATACAATTTCAGCTTGGAGAAAGTGAGACCCTGGGTTGTAAGAATCTGGTTTACATTAGACAATATGTGAGGCTTCAAGAAATACTGCATCAACTCTGTTACAGCCAAATATTTGTTTTGGAACAGAGAGCATTTTGGTGGGTAATCATGTTGAGGGTTGTTTCTAGAAGTCTGTCCAACATTTGCAAAGTATCAAAATACCTGTTCCCTTCCACGGAGAGAGAGGATATTTTTCTCCCTCTAGCCTCTGTTTCTAAGCATTTCTGCTCTATCGAGTTCATTTGCACACCAGGAGTAATGTTTAAATTGTCTCATCGCCACTCCATCCCATCTGCTCCCAAGGAAATGCAAGTTCTGTAATCAGAACAAAATTATGCAAACACAAAACTCCTGTTATCGGCACAGTTTTTCCGTGGGAAGTTCATGCTGCTCATTTCACTTTGAGCCTAATTGCCCGAGTTTCGTAGAATTTGAGACGTTATTGCAAAGATGTGGGGGTAGCGACAGCGGCAGGTAAAGAATGAAAACAGTTTTGCAGCGAAGGCCTCTGTATGGATCTAGAGCAAAGGCAGCCATCCTGAGCAAGGTTGGCTCCCTTTCAAAGGATGGAGAACCTGTGCACTTAAAGGTGGCATAAGAGGCAGAAATCAACTGGCGAGGTTTTTATCTGCAGGAATAGGAAAGATTTCCACCTGCTGAATTTTGCCTCCAGCGCAGTTGTGAAAGGCACAGAGCGGCTTGTCAAAAAGAAGTGGTAGGACCAAGATCAGGGGCCTGTATCACTGCCCCCTCCCTGCTCAGGAAGCCGCCTATCCCCCCTCTTTGCTGTTGCTGCTTGTTCTCCTGCCCACTCCGTGTGCGGAAGTGGCACAAACAATGATGAGATGCAGCAGCAGCATCCTCCGTTTGCCTTGCACTCTTCCTCTGGGCAGTGGTATGAATCGGGCATGGAAGAAGAGGGCAAGCAAATGGGCAGTGGTGGTAGTGGCCAGGAGCAGTAGGACCTAGCCCCTCCTCAAAAACAAAACAAAACCTCTGGAGCATTGAGAAGCATCAACTTGAACCCTGATGCCTGAACAATTAAGTCCTCCCATCAAGTTTTCAAATGTAGCTGCGGGACCTCTGCACCTGATGATGGCAGTGGCTAGCTACTGGAACGCTGAACTGTAATAAAAGTCCTGTTGCTTCTTTGGGCAGAATCCAGCTTTAGATAAGCAGACATCAGCTGATGCAATGGGACTTCAGCTTCCTCCCTTCTCTCCTCAGCCTGTGAAATATACTCTAGACTACAATTCCCATCATCCCTGACCACTGGTCCTGCTAGCTAGACATTATGGGAGTTGTAGTCCGAAAACAGCAGGAGACCCAAGTTTGGGAAACCCTGTCCTAGAAGGTCCCTCTTTTGGGATTCCATTCCACCTTTTGCTGCAGACATGGAATTGTTGCGTGTCACATGCCTGTTTACATTCCAGCACAGATTGCTGGCGTGAGCGGAACCTCCACTCTGTATAGCTGTTGTTTCTTTCTCTCTCTTTCTCTCTCTCTCTCTGAAGACGGCAAGGAGAGACGACATGTTTCTTTGTCCTGATTTATATTTAATAAATGCGTAGTTTAATATGTATCTACAGCTTCAAGCCTCTTCTGTTGCGCAGTATATACTGCTAAGTGTGTTCAAGTCTGCAAGCTTGAGTCGCTGATGTAGGTCGGAGCAGAGGTCGATGAGGCTTCGCAGCACGAAGGCAGAGAGGGAGACATTTCAGCTGGGGCCAAGCCAGCTGGCCTTTTGACCTCGAGATGCCGACACTCCAGAACAGATTTTGAGGGTGCTCAGAAGGCTGAAGATGGGAAGGTGAAGTGTCATGAAGGGAGTGTCATAACTCGGTTTACGGCATCTGCTGTGCATACAGAAGGTCCCAGGTTTAATCCCCATGTGGGGCTGAGGAAGGCTCCAGTCTGAAATCTTCAAGCATCATTGCCTGTCTGTGTAGACAAACTGTGTAGATGGTCTGACAGTCTGGCTCCATGTAAGGCAGCTTCCCTCCGTTCCTGTGTTCATTGGATGCAACTCAAAATTCTGCGCTGAAGCAAGTCTGTGGTCCAGGGGTCCTACGAACCATCAAGAAGCAAGTAGATTCACCTCTTCGTCTATAAACTCCACAGTTTGCCAGGTGAAAACCGGGTGACTTTTAGAAAGCAACGCAGGTGGACTTTTGGAAAGCAACGCAGAAAGGAAATGCAAGATTTCTCAGGAATCGCAACAGAGGTGTCAGATTTTGTAGCAGGTAAACTACATCTTGTGAAGTTCTTCTGTGTGTGCATGGAATCACCCCACGTCTTGCAATCTAACTGATCTAATCTTACCTATCTCCTATATTGCGGGGGGTGGGGATTACACATGAGAATATTCTCAAGTTACAACCCTGCAGTAAAGGTAAAGGTACCCCTGACCATTAGGTCCCGTCGCGGACGACTCTGGGGTTGCGCACTCATCTAGCTCTATAGGCCGAGGGAGCTGGCATTTGTCCGCAGACAGCTTCCGGATCATGTGGCCAGCATGACTAAGACACTTCTGGCGAACCAGAGCAGCGCACGGAAACGCCGTTTACCTTCCCACCAGAACAGTACCTATTTATCTACTTGCACTCTGATGTGCTTTCAGACTGTTAGGTTGGCAGGAGCTGGGACCAAACAACGGGAGCTCACCCCGTTGAGGGGATTCGAACCGCCGACCTTCTGATCGCAAGTCCTAGGTTCTGTGGTTTAGACCACAGCGCCACCCATATCAAGATACATGCAGTATCAAGAGGCAAATAGACAGATCAAGGCAACGCAAGAGCAAGCCCCTAATAATAAGGACCTCATTGTCCTCTCTAACCCTGCTTTGCACCTGCCTCTCACCTAAGTCACATATTGGAAGGCTGGCAAGCAGGTGGCTCTCAGCACAGCAGCAGCTGCCTCCTCCTTTCCCCCTGTCGACACGTCTGCAGAGGAGCCTGGCTGAGGCGCAGCATCCAAGTTGTTGTCACATGTAACAAGCCTGCCCTTTGTTTTCGAGAGGGGAGACATGCTTGACCTGGAAGCGGAGACTCCGTCTCTACAGGGGATCCCACCGCCCTGCTGCTCGAGCTTTGTTGCGCCTGCAAGACGCTGTGTGAAAAAGGCGACCCGAGCAGGCCATGGCTGCCAAAGGCAAGTTATGGCCCCCAACAAGGATCCCAGTGAATAATGCCTCTTGCTGTAATTAGGCTCCAGCTCATCTCATCATCACCGATGGTAGCAAAGTTTAGTTAAACAGCTTTGTGCTTTATCTCTGCCTGCAGCTGTTGCTGTTTGCTTACGATGGGGCTGCTAGCAAGTGCATTTTCCCCAACAGTCTTTTTTGTGGTAGAGGAAGAAAGAAAAGAAAATGCCCTGCCAGACAGCAGGAGCAAAGGAAAACACATGTTTGTTTTTTGCCAGTAAAGGAAAAACTAAATTTCGGGAAGATTTTTTTTTTTTTTTAACCCACAGCCATCAGGATAAAAAAGGAGCCCTCTTGCCAGCACCATAAACAAAACAGGCTGCAATCCACCTGCATATGTATGAGAGATAATTCAAAAGGCAACATTTATTTGACTGCTTTTATAGCTTTCTTCTGGAAAGCAGTGAGTGCAGGTCTCAGTTTCTCTCTCGAAAAATATATTAATAGTTATGCCCACTGAATAATTTTCTAGGAACGTTTTGTTGTTGTTGTTGTCCATCACATCAGCTTGCTTTTGAGTGACCACTGGGTGAAATGGAAATGGAATCCAGCAGTTTCAATTGCATGCGCTGATCACAATCGTAATTTGTATTCCTGTGTTCTTATCATCTGAGCACAACTTTTAGAGTCTGCCTCCGCTTGGTGCCCTTAACATTTCGTTTGCTTCAATTCTTGTTGTCCCTTGTGGTCTCTATATCTGCTGTACATACATGCTTCTTTCTCAAGAAATAGTCTATTTTTGTTGTTGTTTTTAAAAAAACAACCTAAATATATGCATGAAGAGCTGTGCACCTACTTTGCTGGTGATGTCCAAAATAACTTCAAAGAAGTTGAGGCATCTTTCTGAAATGGTGAAGCAGTTGGGGTTGACTAGAAGGATGTACATACAACCATATTAAGAGGGAATATTGTACTGTACTAAGAAAATGTGAAGAGTTCCTAACAATTCCCTTTTAGAAACATATTTCTGATGTGACTGAATCCAGCTTTCTTTCTTTCTTTCTTTCTTTCTTTCTTTCTTTCTTTCTTTCTTTCTTTCTTTCTTGTTGGTGCACAGACACATTGATTCCCAGATTAAAAAAACGAAGGTTAACTTATGGAAAATTAAATCAAAGCCATTAAAAATTAAGAGAGATGCCAACCACTTCCTCCTACTTCACAAAGAAGTAGCTGGTCATTTCTAATTATCCCTGAGACAGAAAACATCACGTTCTATCAAACTCACAGGGATGTTTTACTTAAATGCTTTTCTAGGTTAATAAGTAGTTTTTACTAGTTATTTGAATTCTTTGTTAGTGACTGGTATCAAGAGGCCCCCCAACTGAGGCCAGAGCTCCTTTGTACAGGAAATCCGTAAGACACAATCCATCCCTTAAGGACCTTTCCTATGAAAAAAAAAGACAGACAAAAAGAAACAAGAGGCTTAAAGAGGTGATGGAGTGTACTAAAGGTCACAGAAGGAAGGTCAAAAAGGCAGGGGTAGGGAACAAAATCTTGCCCAAATGCTCTAAGTATCCAGTCGAGTTGCTTTATCATGTGGTTTTCTGTGGCATTTGGAAGTCCAGTGTGTGTTATATGATGTGCAAAGAATTGGTTCACCACAGTGGCAGGCAGAACAATTCAACAGCCCCCAAGTGACTGCCATGCCACTTATACCAAATGAAGTGTTACTTTATTTAAAGTTTTTCAGTTACACAAAACGTATTAATTATAAAGTATACCTGAAGGAGCATCTCCACCCCCATCCTTCAGCCTGGACATTGAGATCCAGTGCCAAGGGCCTTCTGGTGGTTCCCTCCCTGTGAGAAGTGAGGTTGCCGGGAACCAGGCAGAGGGCCCTCTCAGTAGTGGTGCCCGCCCTGTGGAACACCCTCCCATCAGGTATCAAGGAAATAAAGAACTATCTGACTTTTAGGAGACATTTGAAGGCCTGTTTAGGGAAGTTTTTAATGTTTGATGTTTTATCGCAGCCTTTCTCAATCTGTGGGTCCCCAGATGTTGTTGGACTACAACTCCCATCACCCCTAGCTAGCAAGGCCACAGCTCAGGGGTGATGGGAGTTGTAGTCCAACAACATCTGGGTACCCACAGGTTGAGAACCGCTGTTTTATCGTGTTTTTAATATTCTGTTGGGAGCCACCCAGGGTGGCTGGGGAAACCCAGCCAGATGTGCAGGGTATAAATAATAAATTGTTGTTGTTGTTAGACTGCTATGTCACAGCTAACACAGTTGCAACCCTATATCAACAAGTGGCAGAATCAACAAGGGCTGTAGAAAACAACACTCCCACTGCACCCACCCCTGTCAATTCTACCATCCACCCATCATGACGAGGCTCACTAACAACACTTTAATGGTCACCAACTTGAATGGCTTTTATAGCTGGGATAGCTTACTTGGTAGAGTATGAGGCTCAATCTCAGGGTTGTGGGGTCGAGTCCCACATTGGTCAAAAGATTCCTGCATTGCAGAGGGTTTGACTAAGATGACCCTCATGGTCCCTTCCATGATTCACACACCAAACACTGTGTGACGCACAACCAATAAAACGGGAAGCTCTGTAGGAATGAACTGTCTTGGATAATGTCACCACAGTACATAGCTGCTCCCAACAGGAATCTAATTAAATTGTCTTCCAGCCAGAGCCTCACAGCAGACCATGACTCTTAACCCTGCACAGGCTTCTTGTTAGATCAAACGGAAACACAGCACAGTCAGAAGCAGAAAGATCTCTCTGAAGAAAGAACTGGAACACCATTTTTTAAAAGCTTAGACTCAATAATAGGAGCAGATATGCCTCCATCTCGCTGGGAGATGGATAGCCTAGCGAGCTGAGAGTGATAAGCCATGATCCGAGTCCCACTCAGGATGGTGTTTCTTTCCTCTGCCCATAGAGGGATTTTTTTCACTGGAATGCTATACAGTGGTACCTCGGGTTAAGAACTTAATTCGTTCTGGAGGTCCATTCTTAACCTGAAACTGTTCTTAACCTGAGGTACCACTTTAGCTAATGGGGGCTCCCACTGCCGCCGCACAATTTTTGTTCTCATCCTGAAGCAAAGTTCTTAACCCGAGGTACTATTTCTGGGTTAGTGGAGTCTGTAACCTGAAGCGTATGTAACCCGAGGTACCACTGTATTCACATGAGGTCCACAGGCACATTTCCCTACAGCATAAACTGCAAGAGGTTCTGATACAGCAAAAATGGGATTGTGCTGTTATCTTCTTGGCCCACATGGCAAACCAAGTGAATTGTGGGAGTATCACAGGTGGTACCATTAAGCAAGCGAAGTACAGTGGTACCTCAGGTTAAGTACTTAATTTGTTCCGGAGGTCCATACTTCACCTAAAACTGTTCTTAACCTGAAGCACAACTTTAGCTAATGGGGCCTCCTGCTGCCGCCGCGCTGCCGGAGCACGATTTCTGTTCTTATCTTGAAGCAAAGTTCTTAACCTGAAGCAGTATTTCTAGGTTAGTGGAGTCTGTAACCTGAAGCGTATGTAACCTGAAGCGTATGTAACCTGAGGTACCACTGTACTGTACAAAACCTCACAAGGCATGTTGCCACCTCTCTCTCTCTCTCTGATTTAGTGCCACAGTGTTAGCTTGGGAACCTGCAGGGCAGACATGGTCCTGGTTCACGACCATGGAATCAGCTTACAGTAGTTTAACCTGGAAGTCACTAGGGTTGAAGCGGCAGTGGCTAGGTCACTACATTCCAGTAGGGTGTCCCAGTGGCAAACCAAGCAAGGTTGGTAAAAAGGTATTTTAATATGGCTGAGAATCTGGGAGCAGCGCCAGGTTCAAAGATGATTCTGCAGCTGTGAACATGTTCCCTGGTCCCCTCAAAAACAGGCATTGCTCACACTAACCGGCCCGCCACCTAACCAAACGCCGCTGTGTGCCTTTTCTCCACCGCTAGTTTAAGCACATCAATCAAAACTTCTCTCTTCTAGCTGTGCAGCAAGCCAAGGGTAAAGCGATGGTGTCCTGAACTTGTTTTGAGATGCCGTGAACAGCTCTGATCAATAATGTTTTAACAATTCGCAGCTGGCGCTTGCTTTTCTTTCATGAATATTGATAAGAACATACAAAGGCACACTTGTAATCCACCCATATACAAGATGTATTTTGTATCAATCTCTGTTTTCAGCGCCACAAATCTTTCTCTTTTCTTTTTTTTGCGGGGGTGGGGTTAGCCGATCAAGCATGCTAAGCAAGTCAAACAAAACTGTATTGCTCGTGCTTCAAATTCTGCTTGCAAATCCATCATGCTATAATATTTCTTTAAATAGTCCATAAAAGACCATTTCCCTCTCATTTCATTTAATCAGCCCCCCTGCAGATAATGTGGTTAAAAAGATAAAATCCAACATAAAATTGCACGTTACCCACTGGAGCACATCATGTGGGAAGGTTGGCGCTGGACCTCAGTGTCTGGGCTGAACGATGGGGGTAGAGACACTCCCTTTAGGTATCCTGGGCCGAGGCCCTTTAGGGCATTAAAGGTCAGCACCAACACTTTGAATTGTGCTTGGAAACGTACTGGTATATTAGAAAACTTATCACTCAAAAGTAAAAACAAAAATGAAAGAAGCAGCTACAGGTAAACAAATACCTGTGTGTATGCCCACAACAGACATCAGGTGCGGCATATGGTGTGCAAAGGGTTAAAAAGAAGTGCAACCATTGCTGCTGCTCCTATGACTCATTGGGTGGGGTTTATGTTGTGTGTGGCTTTTCTTATGTCCCTCTACCAGTTCCTTTCTATGTAAGCTGGCCTTGGTTACTCCTGTTTATCCTCTGTTGAATAATGAACTCGTTCTGCTTTTCTCTTGGAGTCTGCTGTGGTGCCTGGTTAACAGAAAGGTGTGAGTAGATGCATGATTAAGAATATTACATCAGATTTCCAGAACCTATGCTGGGAGGGGAAGTACTGATTGAGGGGAGAGGACAACAAGACAGAGTGCAAATCCATTTCATCAAGCACTGTCCCACCAGTGTGGATGGGAAACACTGAGACAGCGTCCAACTGAAAGTGCTCATGTGTGGGCAAATATGCATGAAAGCAAACACGGAAGGAAACTGGACCTGGAAGACCCATGTGCACTTGTAACACTGTGGTGCATATGCAGCCACTATGGAAGGCTGAGTTTTAAGCTACAACTGGAAGTCTCCACTAGGAGAACTGGATCTCTAGTCAAGACAACACAATCAGGACCTAGAGATTGTCACCACAGTTCACAACCAATCCCTCCATCCAAATAACTGAGCTAAAACACTTTTACCTGTGCAACATGGCGGTGCAATTAGGCAATTTGAGACCCAGACATAAAGTTCAGGGGGGTGGACCACTCTGTAGACAGTAAAGAATATTATTTATAGCTGTTGCCTTCAGGGCTCCTTTTGCTCCTTCTGCTGAGTGCAGCGCTGGACCTCTGCCCCAAAGGCAACATGAGTGCAATATGGTTGTCTTACTTGCTTTGCCTTAGTGACAGTTCCATGTGCTCCTTTGGAGGCCACTCCCGGGGTCCTCCAGTTTTTGGAGTGCTCATCAGGTGGTGGAGGAAGTTGCTCTGGGAAGAGGAGGAACCTCAGAAGTCTGGTTGATGCACCGTTCAATCCCTTTCTATAAGAAGAAGGAATTCCTGGGTCTTTCAGCCACATAGCCTTGTTTTGTGTACCTTAGAGGTCATCCACGGGGCACCCTTTCCACCCCTTTCTCTAGAGAACTGTGAGCTCTGAAAGCATTAATGGCACTGCTCTTGTTTCAATGGAATGCTTTTCGTCTAAGGCCCGGGTTGACACGCACACAATTGTTTGATTTCTCATTGCTTGATAGCTCACAACTGAATGTGTGAAATGACTCCATGGAACTGTGTTTAATGAAGATCCCTGCTGAATCTGGCCAATGGCCTTTCTAGTCCAGAATTCGGTTCTCACAGTGGCCAACCAGACGCCCGAGGGAAATCTGCAAGAAGGAACTGAGTGCAACAGCATCATCCCTTCTTCTGATTCCCAGTAAGCAGCAGAGGCAGAACATAGTTTTATCCTCCATGAATCTGTGCAGTCCTTTTTAAAAAAGTCATCCATCACTGCCTCTTGGGGGAGAAAATCCCATAGATTAGCTATGCACTGTGTAAAGAAATCCCTCCCTTTGTCAGTCTGGAATCTTCACTGGATGTCCCTGAGTTCTAGAATTATTTTTGTGAGGTTGGGGGTGGGGAGAAGCATAAATGTTATTACCATGAACTTCTGTTTTCAGAAGTATTCCAGAAGGCATTCCTTATTTTCAGGAATGCATCCCAGAAGATGCTGGAAAACTTGCCCCTAGCTATTTTCTCCACACCACTCATAATTTTACGCACGTCAATCACGTGGAAGTTCTCTCTGCAGTGTTTCGTTTGAGATGAGCTTATTCCCATGTGAAAAGTCACCACTTGATGTCACAATTGTCAAGTAATTAGCATGCACGCGCATAAACCAGGTGACTGCTAACCTCAGAACATTGCCCACAGACCAGCTCCAACATCAGGTGAATTTAGGCTGCAACCTCAGGCATAGTTAATGCTGGGAGTTAAGTCCCACTGAATCCAGAAGAATATACTTCTGGAAATGTTATTGTCCAGAATCAGACTGCTACGTTGGCACCTCCAGATCTGAACTCGTCCACTTCAAAGCTTTATGTGGTGATGAGAGAAGACAATGGCAGGCTTCAGATAGATGGAAACATCCTTCGAAAGACGTCCAACATTCAGTGGTGCTTCCAATGAACAGTGGCCCCATTTCCTATTTAATTTGAAGCTTCAGTGTCTGTAGGTCAATTGACTAGAACGGCAAAAACGTAAATGAATGGGTACAGAAGGTTAGGTGTGATAGGAAATCAATGGTTTCTTGCCACATTGGTTCAATAAACATGTAATGAAACTTTCTCATTTATAGGAGGGATCGTCTGGGTCAGAAGTTGCTTGTGAAAAGCCTTCTTTTCAAAACCAGTATCTTAAACTGGAAGTGGGGTTCGCCTGACAGTGTCAAACAGAGTGGCAGATGCAAGGGATTATGGCAGATTGCGGCAGACTTATCATGCCACCGTTTTCCAATGTTCTCCTGAGGACTGGCTGCAGCTTTGAGGGAGCAAGTGCTCTCTGAAGAACTTCTTTCTTTAGTCTGTACTGAATCTTCTAAAGCTTGGCTTCGCTGGGTGTCCGCACGTCCCACCGTTATGAGTCTTCACGCCATGCAAGGTTTCCTCCATCAGGCCCCTATCTTTGCTGATGACCCAACTGGCTTACCTGACATTGCTCAGTGGACACAGAATCTTGAGTCGCTGCTGGAAGAATGAAATGAAGCATCCTGAACAAGAGCACTCTACCGCATGCTGTAATATTTTCTTGCAGGTCTTGCTTTTTCAGTTAGGATAACCTGGTATCAACTCTGTGCCATGAACATTC